AGCTTTACAGTTTTGAAAGGAGCGTTAAATCTATGCAGTGACCTACACTATTATATTATATCGTTCTCGGTGACTCTTTGAACTCATACGACCGCCAGGGACACCAGCTCCTTCTGTGTGCAAAGTGAAGAATCTAACGATTTTACTCAGCAGTTGAGCTGTGACAATTCGAGACTACATAGATGATTTTTTGACGCTATTCACAGATATTTGAAGTGCGGCAGACCAGTGTCTGTGTAATTTTTACGGACAGCGAAATTTCGTCTAATTTTTCTCAACCCATAGTAAAATTAGAGTATATTACATCTAAAATCATTGAAGTAAATATGGCAATACTTTGAACTCGATAATTACGAAACAGAAGGATAAGTGGGGCCAAGAAGAGTTTAAAAAACATTCCTCAAAGTTAAAGAAATGCTTACTACTTTTCAGTATTCTTTTGTCACACCTCAAATATATCAAGGGCTCATGATTCTCGAAAGGCAGAAGATGGCTTTGCAAGAAATGAAGAGTAAACAGGAACTATGCGCTTCGTTGCTGACGAATGTAATATATTTAAAAAGAAACATCGCATACAATATTCAAATCGCAGGAATAGTGACTTCATGCTTCGAAGAGTCGATGAAGTTTATTTCCACGAACTAGCGCCGAATTATTTCACATACGCCGGCTTTTTAAAATCTGGGATGACAAGTTCTTATTCTGTTGGCGTTGCTTCGGCAGTCATTTTTGTTCGAGCAATGACGCAGACGCCCCCCCCCCCCCCCTTGAAATGTCCGCTGTATTGTTATTCAGTTGCCTTACTTAAGACTGATGAATTGGCTTTTTGAGTATTCTGAGCACAAGCAAATATTGAGGACAGGTTATGTTCTCCTCTGTTTCAAAAGAAGCACTCCTCTTCCGCTGTGTGTGTGTGTGTGTGTGTGTGTGTGTGTGTGTGTGTGTGTTTGTGTGTTTGTGTGTGTGTTTGTGTGTTTGTGTGTGTGAGTGTGTGTGTGTGCAAGTGTGTGTGTGTGTGTGTGTGTGTGTGTGTGTGTGTTTGTGTAGGTGTGAATGTATGTGTATTTGTAGGTGTGTTGTATATGTCTATTGGTGTCTATATTTATATTTTGTTTATGTACCTTCCCGTCTTAGACTGAGAGGGGATCTCTGCAGGATTTGACATAGGCATATTGTATGTACAGCAAATCTGTTTAACTTACTTGGGTACGCATACATGGAAGTGAGCATCTTTACTGTCAACCATTCGTTGTCTTCTTCTTTCTTTAATACTACTACTGCTACTACATCTACTACTACTACTACTACTACTACTACTACTACTACTACTACTACTACTACTATTACTGCTGCTGCTGCTGCTAACTGCTGCTGCTGCTAGTGGTGGTGGTGGTGGTGGTGGTGGTGGTTGTGCTGCTACTACTGCTACTTTAACTACTACGATCTCAGAGTTGCTGCAATTGTTTTTCCCAATTGTCCCAAATTAACAGTGTTTATGTCAATTCATTATCTTGACAAGAGCTGACTATTTTGATTTGTCTATATTATACAATAACCTCCCTGTCCCGTCCATCTTATGATAGCAGTATGAATCTTCGTCTTTATCACTTTTACTTATAGATAAACACAAAACTCAGTAATCCTTAAATATTGACATATCACCAATTAACTGTCATATTACTAGATGTATCAACAGCCTTTATACTTCATTTCAATTGGTAGCAACCAACTTTATCTACAGCCCGGACATTACATGTAAAGTTAGTGTCTGGACTAATGTATCATGTCCAGTTCAAATGTCTGAGAAACTGATAATGTTATCTAGTGGACACAACTGACGTAACAGTTGAGACTGTGACTGAGGACGATCGTCCCTTCATTGTAGACAACAGAATATAATAATATTATTATTATGAACAGGTTTAGACTAGATTGTTGCAGAATATTATGTCGACTTCGTTTTATCTGTCACTGCTTGGGTGTAAACTACTATTCGATCCTCGTGACACCGATACATCTAGAACCTAAAACGTCTATTTATATGCTTGATAAGATATTTTTAAAGTTCTATATTAATTCTTTGTTTTATACTGTAAGTTAGTCGTCTACAATTATGTTTGACGACCTCACATGTTTGAATTAACTGGACAATTTCTCTTTCGGTTCCAAAAGAATTATTGAATCCATACCATCAGTCCATACACATCTCCAACTGACAAGGGAGAGCTGAAAGCCCACTTTTGTTTTTCCTCTGCGTATTGTTTTTAGTTTGCTACTCTAGAATATAACACTATTCTATCTGCTCAGTACCTAGTTTTGAGAAATTTGACTTTAAAGAATGTTTGTTTTACAGCGTGTCAAACTTTTTCGAATGCACTTCTTTGAATATCGTGATAACGGCTCCAAATTATCTTACGATTTTGATGAGCAGGTAGAACATTTTGCTTTCGGACCTGATGGTCTTAGTAACACATAACTGCCAAAATGTAAGATAGAACTTTGTAATTCTGAGGTAGAGAGTTATGGCACCTCGTTGCTTTAATTTTTAACCGAATCAAGCTGTGTTTAAGCACAGAAAATTGCCCGGCTACAGTTATATAAATACGTATGTCCCCCGTGTCTCAGTCCATTGCAGTCAGCGATCCGCCTAAGTTAAACAAGTAGGGAAAACACTCTTCATCATATGATTGAAATAAACATATGTTT